AAAACAAAAAACAAAAGCAGCAAAAGTACATAAAAATGACGTTTAAATAAAGCAGTACCTATCTGTTATAGTCAGATTATTTTGCACACTTTATACTAGCAGTACAGTTGCGGCATACATAACAAGGATGACCTTAGCAGTGAAAAATAGAGATTAGGTTAAAAAAGCTTTATAGTTCTCACTTAAATAGCTGATAATAAACAGTAATGACAATTTTAAACTGGATCCTATGTTAAGCCGCTGTTAGAAAATCGCTATTCAACGCTACCTTGATCTAGCTCAGGACGCTAAAACTGATGAAAGCCTACTTGTCAAGCACAATTTTTTGTTTGGATTAGGTAACTGTTTTTCCCACGACAGTGACAGATGAATGCTATAGCGATCACAAGACATATAGCACTGTCTTTGAATTGACTAAGGTGATTATGTTTTCCTCTAACTGCTGATGTTTATTTTTTCTTCAACACCAGTGATTCTATTTGTAAAGATTTCTGTTCTACGACAAAAGTTTATCAGTTTTACCAAGTTTTGAAGCAATAAATTTTGTAAAAAATTTTAAGCTATTAAACTGCTCTTAAATCTTAACATAGTTCTGATAAACTGGGCTCATACGATGGCAAATTGAATGCTAAAATTATGCAGTAAAATCTCATGTTTTACTTTCCTGACACTCATCAGTGTTATTGACTAGCTTACAGAACATTTTTGTTGGTGAAGCAGTGTAGAAGTAATGACAATCAAAATGTCTCCAAAAAATTTTTTTTTTTATTTGAGAAATCGACATTTTGAGTCTGTAGTTATTAATTTGTTGGAAAACTAATTTTAGATTTTAGCAGTATTTGTACAATTTTTTCTGCTATTATTAAAACTTTAGTGAAACTGAGAAACTTTTTTTTTTTTAAACTCTTATTATTACTATTTTTTAAAGAGAATTTTTTAAATTGTCTCATTATCTTCTTATTTGAATGGTATGTGTTTGAATACAGAAAAATTGTTTAACAGGATAAGCTCAGTGATAAATGGTAATAAGTTGCTAAAATAGAATAATGGTATTTTCGGAAATTGTGGGTACTTTGTCTTTTCTTCAACCTCAAGCTGACGATGACTTTGTGGATCGTCTACATTATTACTATACAAGTACATTTCTACTTGTCACCGCGGTAAACTCTCTTCTCTTTTTTTTTTTGACTGGATAAAATCTTTTTGTTATAATCATCTTTTGTTTTAAGATTATTAGTGTACTCAACAAAAAAGATTTGAATATCTTTGTTTTATTCATTATTTATCAGGTTCTGATAAGTCTTAAAATGTTTGGTGGACGACCAATTGAGTGTTGGGTACCAGCGGAATATAAAGGCAGTTGGGAAGACTACACTGGTAAACAACAATACTTTTTTTTTATTGATCACTTCAGTTTTTTACTCGTCTGAATCGTAGAACACTCATAATCTCTGTACAGTTTTTTGTTGATTTGTATACGTCTGTATTTGATACCTTCATTTTTAGTTTTTTTTAATGAAAACTGCTTTTAACAAAAATAAACATTTACTCATCTTAGATTTGATAAAAATTACACACTAATTACAGAAATGTTTTGCTGGGCAAGAAGTACGTATTGGGTATCGTTTGAAGAAAAAATTCCAAATGAAGTTCAGGTCCGTGAAAGTCGAATGATATCATATTATCAGTGGACGCCATTCTTTCTGGTTATATGTGCTTTCTGTTTCTACTCACCGTGCTTAATATGGCGTCTTATGTATGGAAAATCAGGTTTGTTAAATGTCAATATTTTTGAAAAATTTACTGTGTAAACCGTCATAAATAATACATGTATTTCTAAAGTTTGGTGGCTAAACGATTTTTTTTTTAAAAGAATATCTGTTTGGCAACAAGCAACTAATAACTTCTAGTTTTTCAAGTCGATTACTGAGAAGGAAATTGAGCTTTTATTACGAAACTTGCAGGACAATTCACAAGTGGTAATTTGCTGCATTGTTGATCATAGAACAGTGATCTCATGACTTTTTTGTCAGTACTTCTTAAAATGCCTGCTCAAATTCTTAACTGTATACACGAAATTTTGTATATTTATAAGAAAACATTTATCATATTGCTGTTGGGTAAACGTAACATTTATTTGCTTCATTTACGAAATGATACGAGTTGCTATTAGAAATAGGTCGGTAAGAAATGAGACAAGCTGCTTTTTTTAGATTTTTTATGATTTTTGACGTTGTTTAACAAAATTGTACCTTTAAGCAGATTTATACTTGTAACTAAAGCTTTCTCCCAAAGGAAAATTTAATTTCTTGCATTAAGATCTGTGTTTCTTTATTATTATTTATTTCTTTACGTCTCAGTTTCTCATTGTTTGGTAGCTTATTAAAAGCAATAGCTTATGCCACTCATGAAAAAGAAGGTGCATATCAGTCGTAGATAAGAATTTAGGTCTTGATTACTTCACTTCTGACTACTAACTTTGAAGCTTGACTGTCTTTTGTATCTATTAAACTGAGGGGTCCACTAAGGTTTGGTTCTGGTTCGCGAAGAAAACTTTAAAAGCTGATTTTTCCAAAAAGCTGGACAGTCTCATCGCGTAAGAATACCAAGTTTCTGAGTGATTTGAAATTTTCTGTGGTACACTATCGAAGAAAAGTCGTATGCTATTTTTTGGAGGTGGGAGTTTAGTGATTTCACTAATTACTAACGATATGGTCAGAAGACTACTTGCGAAATGGGCAGCTGTACAAA